GGGTGAGCCCCTGTCACCTCTATTTGGGGTGTGTGTGTGTGTGTGTGTGTGTGTGTGTGCGCGTGTGTGTGTGTGCGCGCGTGTATGCACGGGGGCAGGAGGGATGCATTATCGTCTGTGCCTGTGCCAGGCCCCCGTGCATGCCGACATCCTATTTGGTCTTGTAGAGACTGGTCTCAAACAGATGCCCTGGTTCTGTGTGTGAGTGTACTGATTTGCAGCTGTGTTTGGCCACTTCCTGATGGAGGAAAAATTATTTGAGGATGGGGATAGGGCTGGTTCTGTGAGCCACAAATAACATCTGTCAAGGTGCTTCCTCAGCCAGGTATGAGGAGACTTAAGCCCACAAGTAAAATCTTACTGAAAGTTGTTCAGAACATTGAAAAAAGCTGGGGCAGTACATACCCAATGGACTGAGACACATTCAAGATTGATTCAGAAAAGACTATGGAATGGGGGATATTAATGCTGATGAATCTTGGATGGAAGCAGAAAATACCAGAAAAATTCTTACTTGTGTTTTACTTACTGCACAAGAACATTTGGCTATATCGATAATAATAAACTATGAGTAACATTGAGATAAATGGAAATGCTAAAGCATTTCATTATACTCAGGCACTCTACTCCAGCTGCACCCTCTCCAAGACATAGCTGTTCTTTTAGCAGTCCATGTGATATTCAGTACTCTTCTCCAACACCACAGCTCAAAGGTATCAATTCTTCAGTCATTCCTATTCATTGCCCAGCTCTCAGATGCATAACAAGTGATTGGAAAGATCGTGGCCTTGAATCAGATGAACCTTAGTCCTCAAATTGACATCATTGCTCCTTAATAATTGGTGAAGTCCCTGATTGTAGACCTTCTTTGTGCAATATGTCTCCTGGTTTTCTGATTGCTGCCACCAAGGGTGCTGATTGTTGGTCCAAGTAAGATGAAGTCGTTGACATTTTCAGTCTTTACACATCTATCATAATGTTGTCTATCAGTCCAGAGGTAAAAATTTTGTTTTCTTAACATTGAGAAACAATTCATATTGAAGGCTATAGTTTGGTGTTTTGTTTTTTTTTT